GCCCTTCCCCCTTTCCTTTTTTTCCTCTCCTCCTCCTCACCCCATCTCTCTCTCTCTTTTTAAGAAGAGGAAGAAGAAAAAGGTAAAGATACAAATTATGAACAACAAATATGCATCTATCAACAAGTGAATCTAAGAATCAAGTTAAGAAATCTGATGATCAGAATGTACTGGTGATTATAATAGAATCAGGGACATAGAAAGGGAATGGACTGACTATTCTTGGGGGGGAAAGGGGTGTGGGAGATGCGGGAAGAGACTGGACAAAAATTGTGCACCTATGGATGAGGACAGTGGGTGGGGAGTGAGGGAGGATAGTGGGGTGGGAACTGGGAGGAGGGGAGTTATGGGGGGAAAAAAGAGGAACAAATGTAATCTGAACAATAAAGATTTAATTTTTAAAAAGTTATAGATAACTAGGAACTTAATCTGATGTTAATTTACTATGGATAAAATTTTTTAAAAAAAGGATGTGGAAAAACTTTTCAAATTACTGAAACTTTGGATTGTTAGAAGATTTCCCAGCTCCTTGCAACTCAAGTATGACACATGACAAGTTCTGCCAACTGTGTGCTCCAGTCCAGGACTCTGAATCTAGAGTGAGTGACAAACTCAAGCTGGAAACAGGTTAGAATTAGTTCTAGAGACAACAAGGGTGGCTGTGTCTAATGTCAGTGCTGACTGAAGAATTCTAACCAGATCCTCCCAGTGGAATGATTAGGGGCTATCTTTCTGGCTGCTTTAATGTCCCAGGGTTCTTGCCTGTTTTCTTCCCATCAGTTCTGTGAGCTGATATTATCCCATTCAATTAGAATTGGTTTCTGCTTCCCACAACCAAAAATCATGATTTGTTCACAACAAAAAAATTATCCAGTTCAAAATACCAGTAGTGCTGAAATTGAGAAATCCTGTCATATAGAAACAGGGAAAGGGACTGAGCTACAGCAGAGAAAGCCAGGACAAAAATGGGAACTAAAAAATCAATAATCTAAGGAATTTTTCATTATCTACATTTCTATATTGTATAATATTCAACAATACTATGTATATAGAAATAATATAGACTATTATTTTACAACTAGTGGCCCGGTGCACAAAATTCATGCACATTAAAAGGGAATTAATTAGAGGAAATATATAATATTGCTGTTTGCCCTTTATAATAGAAGTGTCAGAGATGAAAGGAAATTAGTAAAATGTATATGAAAATATATAAATGTTTTAATAAAAAATAACAAAATGATATAACAACAGACATACAAAAACAACAAAAAAATATGAAAACAAAAACATGATATAAAAACAGTGATGCAAACAATGACTGATAAAGTGGTTAAATTTATTCTAATATCTCCCTGTATACCACATTAACCCCTTCCCCAACAATTTTTTTGTTAAAAACGTTTCTTTTTCAGACTAATTTTTTTATTTTGGTTCTATATAGTATTTTTGATGCTGGTTATGAAAACAGTTTGTAATTATTTTTTCTTCCCATTTTTGTGGTTAAGAATAGTATTTCCTCAGAAAGTTTCTAGATGAAATTATTTAGAATGGTACGTATGTAGCTGGTTTTTGAAGGTAAAGTTTTTAGACGAGTATACTCGTCGACGACTGAAAAAAGAACATTTTGTGAAAACGAGTATACACGTTTCTGCCGGGGAAGGGGTTAATTATGTACAATGGGCACAATAATATCAATGTCTGTTCCC